AGGGGCATGGAAAGAAAGTTAATGAATTTCACATTTTGTAGCTTCTGTTTTCTCTAAACTATCACACCTTGTGATGTGGATAGGAATTTCACCAGCTTCTTTCTGATTATAATATTTTGGGACAGTTATCTCCTTGCCCATTAATTACTTTGTATATATGTCTACACTTTTTGGAAATAAATGTAATTAGTGGGTTTCTGCTGATTTCAAGTTCCTTGAGTCCACAAGAGTAGGTCTTTGTCATCTTGAACTTTAAGCTCATTGAGGAGATTCTGGCAAAAGTACCACTTTCCTCTTTCTGTGACATTTGGCTGTTTGTTTTTAAATTTAGTTTTATAATATAAGGGTACTTCAAAAGGTTTGTGGAAAAATGGCATTGACGAGCAAGTATTAGGTGTATTGATTAAGATGCTGCTTGGGATATCCACATTCCATATCAGTGCCTGGGTTCAAGTCTTGGTTCTGCTCCTGATTCCAGCTTCCTGCAGGCATATACCCTGGGAAGGCAGCAGGTGGTATTCAAGTGGTTGGATCCCTACCACTCACATGGGAGACCTGGATAAGAGCTGCTGCTTTTGGCCTGGTTTGGTTTGAACTGTTGCAGGCCTTTATTGGAATGAATCAGCAAATGGAAAATACCTCTCTTCTTTTTTCGCTCTTTCAAAAAAAAAAAAAAAAAAAGGCAGCAAAAGGATATTTATTGTGACACAAAAATTTTTTTGAAATCTGTGCATATGAAAAGTCTTCAAAAAGTTCATGAGAATGCGTGTTATGAAAAAACTTCATGGGTATACAATTTTTTAGCCAAAAATTTTTAATTCATTTTTCTGCAAATTAAAGTTGCTTTAAACATATAGAAGCAAAATGAACCAATTTTCATTTCTTAGAAGAGAGAATATCAGTTTTTTCTGTCCTCATGTTAGCTTCAGATTCTTTTTTTTTTTCTTTTTTAATTAATTTGAAAGGCAGAGTTACAAAGAGGCAGAGAGAGAGAGGTCTTCCATCCGCTGGGCCCATCTAAAGCCAGGAGCCAGGAGCTTCTTCTGGGTCTCCCACTTGGGTACAGGGGCCCAAGGACTTGGGCCATCTTCCACCGCTTTCCCAGGCCACAGCAGAGAGCTGGATCGGAATTGGAGCAGTTGGGACTTAACCTGGCGCCCATAAGGAATGCCGCCGCTACAGGTGGTGGCTTTACCCACTATCCACAATGCTGGCCCTAAAATTCTTTTTTTTAACTTTACCTTTGATGTCTCAAACTCTTAGCAACTAATATTTTGACAAATGTTAAAAATTAACTTTTGAAAATAAAGAAAGAAGGGTAGGCATAGTGGAGTAATGGGTTAAGGCATTGCTAGGGACATCAACATCCCATATAGGAGGGCCTGGTTACAAGTTCTACTTCCAATTCAGCTTCCCCTAATGCACATCCTAGAAGGCAGCAAATGATGGCTCAAGTACTGTGGTCCCTGCCATCCATGTGGGAGACCAAGATGGAGTTCCAGGCCACTGGCTTCAACCAGGCTCAATCCTGGCTGTTGCAGACATTTAGAGAATGAACCAACAGATGCAAGATTTCACTCACTGTCTGTCTCTCTCCCTGTCACTCTTTCAAATAAATAAAAACAAATTGAACTTAAAAAAAAAAAAAAAAAAAGGCTTGGCCATGGGAGTCAATTCATATGTTACTGTTCACAAAAATGGAGAGGTTTTAAAAATAAGAAAAATAATCTAACCGATAATATGCATATTCCAACAGTCTTACTTTGATAGACAAGCCTGAGTCTTTGACATAAAATACACATTAAAAGCAGAATCAAACAATTTTCTAGAAATTTACAAACCTATTAATTCCAGGTAAACACATGGAATTTCCATTGTAAATGACAGCTTAAAACAGTCCGCTTTTCATTGGATCGCTAAAAATTTTCATAGTGCCTGATTTATAAAGTAGGTACCTAAAAATATCTCCTGAGTGTACTAAAGAAAGCCTGTACTTAATAGTACACCTGGCCGGCGCTGCGGCTCACTAAGCTAATCCTCCACCTAGCGGCGCCGGCACACCGGGTTCTAGTCCCGGTTGGGGCACCGGATTCTGTCCCGGTTGCCCCTCTTCCAGGCCAGCTCTCTGCTGTGGCCAGGGAGTGCAGTGGAGGATGGCCCAAGTGCTTGGGCCCTGCACTCCATGGGAGACCAGGAGAAGCACCTGGCTCCTGCCTTTGGATCAGCTCGGTGCGCCGGCCGCAGCACGCCAGCCGCGGTGGCCATTGGAGGGTGAACCAACGGCAAAGGAAGACCTTTCTCTCTGTCTCTCTCTCTCACTGTCCACTCTGCCTGTCAAAAAAAAAAAAAAAAAAAGTACACCTACCAGTAAATAAATCCTACATTTAATGAAGCAGGTATCACTGCACTATGAAAGCACATATTCCACTACACACAGCTCCAAATTTATTCATGTAATTATCCACAATTAAAAAGCAAAAAGTCTTCTAAAATTGTAGCTAATTTCATGTCACTTGGAGACTAAAACTTCTTTACCCTGACTTTGGAGTTAGCCCAAGCCCTCTACAATTAAAAATAGTTTAGCCACTTAACAGGTTAGGCAATGACAGGTGTTTATTTACATTTCTGTTGAAGGTGCCTTTAGTACTGTCCATGAGATTACAGAAAATATCCTTAAACATCTAAAATTTTAGGGTTAATTAGTAGTTTTATAAAACATTTTTGTATGTTGAGGTTTTTTCAACAAGTATGTTTTTATGATCACAGAAAGACTTTAAAAATTGTAAATGATGCTGTTAAATATATCAAGTGTTTTCAGCATGGCAAAGAAATATCAAAATGACAAAAAAAGTCTTTCATGAAAGTTTTTTTTTTCTTTTTAAAGATTTATTTTGTTTATTTGAAAGAGTTACAGAGAGAGGTGGAGACAGAGAGGAGAGGTCTTCATGCGCTGGTTCGCTCCCCGGATGGCTGCAATGGCCGGAGCTGCGCCAATCTGGAGCCAGGAGCCAGGAGCCTCTTCCCAGTCTCCCATGCAGGTGCAGGGGCCCAAGGACTTGGGCCATTTTCTGCTTTCCCAGGCCATAGCAGAGAGCTGGATGGGAAGAGGAGCAGCTGGGACTAGAACTGGCACCCAAATGGGATGCTGGTGCCCAAATGGGATGCCGGCGCTTCAGGCCAGGGCATTAACCCATTGCGTCACAGCGCCGGCCCCGAAAGTTGTTTTTTTTTTTTTTTTTTTTTTTTTTTTCCGAAATCCAAGATTCAATCAAGTTTTACAGGTTGCATTTAATTTTCATATAACTTTTCTTTCTTTTTTTTTTTTTTTTAAATTTTGAGATGCAGAGAATGACAGAGAAACAGAGAGAGAATGCTCCTATTCACTGGTCCATTGCCCAGGAGCTGGGAACTCAATCCAGGTCCCCCACATGGGTGGCAAGACTGCAATTACATGAGCCATCACCACTACTTCCCAGGGTCTGCATGAGCAGGAGGAAGCTATAAACAGGAATCTGAGCCAGGAATCTAACCTGGTTTTATAATTAAGAAATAATGTCATTAGGATACAAAACTACACTAATAAAATGTTTTCAAATTATAAAAAGTATTTTTAGTACTAGGTAAGTGCTTTTAACCACCTCAGCATAAACTAGTATCCTTCTATCTATCCAGTGATGAAGAATTCAAGAATTACTGTCAAAATCCTTAGACTGACGGTCAACACTGGTGTTCAAATACCTGTAAGGAGCCCAGGGTTGTGCTGCAACAGGCTAAGGTGCCATCTGCAATGCTAGCATCCCGTAGTAAGCCCCTGCCATCCATGTGGGAGCCTCAGATGGAGCTCCAGGGTCCTGGCTTTGGCCTGGACCAGCCCCAGCCGTTGTGCCATTTGGGGAGTTAACCAGTGGGAAAAAGATCTCTTTCTCACTGTCTCTCCCTTTGGAATAAATAAATACATCTTTAAAAAAAAAAAAAAAAGAATATTGAGGATTGCGCTGTGGTGTAGCAGGTAAAGCCACTACCTGCAGTGCCAGCATCCCCTGTGGGCTCCAGTTCGAGTCCCAGCTGCTCCAGTTCTGATCCAGCTCTCTGCTGGAAAGCAGTAGAAGAGGGCCCAAGTCCTTGGACCCCTGTAACCAAGTGGGAGACCCAGAAGAAGCGCTCTTGTCTCCTGGCTTAGGATTGGCACAGCTCTGGCTTTGCGACCAATTGGGGAGTGAACCAGTGGATGTAAGACCTCTCTCACTCTCTCCGCCTTTCCTCCTCTCTCTATGTAACTCTTGACTTTCAAATAAATAATAAATCTTAAAAAAATTTTTTTACTAGAATGATAACAGTTTCTTGTTTCTTCCTTTCATGCTTCCCTGCTCATCAGAGACAACTACTTCTGATTCTTCTCTAAATAAAATATTATTGCATCTTCATCAATTTTAGATCTTCCTGTAATGTTAAATGAGAAATTTCTCCCAGCCCCTATCCCCTTCTTCCAGCATGGTTATACAAAAAATTTCTGTTTAAAATTTTGATTTGAAAGGCAGTGAGAGAAAGAATGTTCCCATCTGCTAGTTCACTTCCTAAACACTCACCATAATAGGGGCAGGCAGGATGCCAAATCTGGGAGCCAGGAACTGAGTTCCACATTGGTGTCAGGATCCCAGCTGCTTGGGTCTCCATTATCTGGAAGCTGGAATCAAGAGCTGGAGCCTGGAGTTGAACCCAGGCACTCTGATGTCCTAATCACTGGCACACTGCATGTGTCCTAATTGGTATCTTAACCACTAGGTCAGATGCCTGCCCCGTATAAAAAATTTCAAACCCTGTTTTCATTTATGATTATATAAAAATTATTTATATGTGATACTTCAAAGTAGTGATGAGAGAGCAAATACATGCAAAGAATTTAAAAAACAGTGTCATGCTTTTTAACTTTTAGTTATTTCTAGAATTATATTTCTTATACAATTGGGTTTAAAAATTATCTCATTAAAAACCAAAATTTGTTACTTACCTAGCAGGGGAGATATCATGATCAGGAAGGTGGTTTTCCCAGGGCAAGGCTTACCTCATTGCACTGTGGATGTGCTGACCTCTGCCATTTTCCCTAGGGGGAAAAGTTGGGGGGGCAGTATTGTGGTACAGTGGATTAAACTGTCACTTTAAATGCTGGCATACCATATCAGTGCCATTTTGCGTCCTGGCTCATTTGCGTCTGATCCAGCTTCCTGCTAATGCACTTGGAAAGGCAGCAGAAGATGGCCTTTGCTGCTAATGTGGGAGACTAGGATGGGGAAGTCCTGGTTCCTCACTTTGGCCTGGCCCACACCTAGCTGTTGGGTGCATTTAAGGAGTGAGCCAGCAGATAGTAGGTACCTCTGTCACTCTGAATCTCCCTCCCTGTCACTCTGCCTTTCAAATAGATGAATAAATCTTTTTTTTTTTTTTTTTTTTTTTTTTGACAGGCAGAGTGGACATTGAGAGAGAGAGACAGAGAGAAAGGTCTTCCTTTGCCGTTGGTTCACCCTCCAATGGCCGCTGTGGCTGGCGTGCTGCGGCCGGCACACGGCGCTGATCCGAAGGCAGGAGCCAGGTGCTTCTCCTGGTCTCCCATGGGGTGCAGGGCCCAAGCACTTGGGCCATCCTCCACTGCACTCCCTGGCCACAGCAGAGAGCTGGCCTGGAAGAGGGGCAACCAGGACAGAATCCGGCGCCCCAACCTGGATTAGAACCCGGTGTGCCGGCGCCGCAAGGCGGAGGATTAGCCTAGTGAGCCGCGGCGCCGGCCGATAAATAAATATTAAACATAATATAACACAGTTTGCTTAGTTTTCTTGGAGTATTGAAATCTTCACAGATCTTCAACTGTTATATAAAGTATCTCACAGTCTACTTTCCCACAGTGCCAGTCATAAAATTTATCAGTTGCATTTCCTTTTTCTCAGAGATACCCGCCCCTGGAGCACTTGTGAAGTTTTGCTCTAATTTGGACTTAGAGCTGCATAGGAATTGTCTTGGGGTTTGCCTGGGAATTATTTTGTATGTCTGCTGTGTTGGATTCTTTGCATACCATGTCTGGTTTTTACTTGGTTTACTGTCTTTGATATTAGTATTGGCTCTCAAGCCCAAAGAAAGTATATTTCATTCATACTTTATATGCCTGAAAAATCTACTAGTTTTGCCCTTTTGATTGACTTTGTATAAGTTATTTTTCACTCAGATTTTTTTTTTTTTTGGACAGGCAGAGTGGACAGTGAGAGAGAGACAGAGAGAAAGGTCTTCCTTTTGCCATTGGTTCATCCTCCAATGGCTGCCGCAGCCGGCACATTGCGGCCGGCACACCGCGCTGATCCGAAGGCAGGAGCCAGGTGCTTCTCTTGGTCTCCCATGGGGTGCAGGGCCCAACCACTTGGGCCATCCTCCACCGTACTCCTGGGCCACAGCAGAGAGCTGGACTGGAAGAGGGGCAACCGGGACAGAATCCGGTGCCCCTACTGGGGCTAGAACCCGGTGTGCCGGCGCTGCTAGGTGGAGGATTAGCCTAGTGAGCTGCGGCGCCGGCCCCTAGCTTCTAATCTTGATAAAATGATTGCCATTCTTAGCACTTTCAAAAAGTACCTTTTTCTCTGTTTCTAAGCATGTAGTATATATTCTTGATTTCTAGTACGAGGATCTTTTATTTATTTTTATTTTTAAATATTTATGTATTTATTTGAGAGGCAGTGTTAGAGAGGGAGAGAGAAGGAGAGAGGTCTTCTATCTGCTGGTTCACTCCCCAGATGGCTGCTATGGCTGGAGCTGGGTTAAGCCAGGAGCCAGGAGCTTCTTCCGGGGGTCCCATATGTGTGCAGGAGTCCAAGAACTTGGGCCATCATCTGCTCTCCCAGGCTCATTAGCAGAGAGCTGGATCGAAAGTGGCTCCCATATGGGATGCTGATGTTGCTGGCAAAGGCTTTACTAGCTATACCACGATGCCTGCCCCTATTTTTTTTTTTAAATATTTATTTGAAAGAATTAGAAGGTGAGGCAGAGGCAGAGAGAGATCCTTGCCCCCTATTTTTAAAACATTTATGAAAGAAAAACTGACGGAGGGAGAGATCTTCCATCCTTTGGTTCACTTCCCAAATGCCTGCAACAGCCAGGGCCATGTGAGGCCAAAGCCAGGAGCCAGGAACTTCATCTGGATCTCCCACATGGGTGGCAGGGGCCCAACCACTTGAACCATCATCTGCTCCATCTGTCATAGCCTCAAGATGCATTAGCAAGGAGGTGGATTGGAAACGGAGCAGTGGGGACTTGAACCAGCACTTCGATATGGGTACAGATTTCCTGAATGGCAGTGTAACTTGCTGTATACCTCTGTGCCCACCCTGATTTTCCTAATCTGACTTCTTTTATTATCCATATTTGAGTTTTGCTATATTAAAATTTCATCTTGGCTTTCATTTTAGTTTTAAAAGATTTATTTATTTATTTGAAAGAGTTACTCAGAGAGAGGAAGAGACTCAGAGAGAGTGAGATTTTCCATCTGTTGGTTCACTCCCCAAATGGCTGCAATGGCTGGGGCTGGGCCAGGCGAAAGCCAGGTGTCATGAGTTTCTTCTGGATCTCCTACTTGGGCGCAGGGTCCCAAGAACTGGGCCATCCTCTGCTACTTTTCCAAGGCCATTAGCAGGGAGCTGGATTGCAAGTGGAGCAGCTAGGACTGGAACTGGCACTGATACTGGTGTTACAGGCAGGCAGTGGCTTCACCTGCTACGCTTCAGTGCCGTTTAGCTCTAATTTTATTTCTCGGAGTTGATTGTTCTTTTTCTCATTAAATTTATGCAGTATTTTCTCAGATCTCTTGAAGATAGTATTACAGTTTTTTTTTTCATTGTTAGACAAACATCCCCTGATGATAGCTAAGGTTATACCATTCTTCCTTCTGTGTTAAGCATTGCCTTCAAGTGTCTTTTTTTTTTTTAAGATTTTATTTATTTATTTGAGAGGTAGAGTAAACAGAGAAGGAAAGACAGATAGAAAGGGCTTTCATCTGCTGTCTTACTCCCCAAATGGCTGCAACGGCCAGAGCAGAGTGGATCCAAAGCCAGGAGCCAGGAGCTTCTGGGTCTCCCATGTGGGTGCAGGGGCCTGAGCATTTGGGCCATCTTCCACTTCTTTCTCAGGCCTTAAGGGAGCTGGATCAGAAGAGGAGCAGTCAGGACATGAACCAGTGCCTGTATGGGATGCTGGTGCGCTGGCAGATACTTAATCTACTATGCCACAGCGCCTGCCCCTCAAGTGTTGTTTTAAAAGAAGGTTTTCTTTTTTTTTTTTTTTTTTCTTTTTGATGGTTATGTATTCATTTTTAGTTATTTGAAAGGCAAAGTGACAGGGAGGGTTGGGGAGAGAGATTGTCTACCCACTGGGTCACTCCTCAAGTGCCACAACACCTTGCACTAGAATAGCCCAAAGTCAAGAGTCAGGAATTCCATCAGAGTCTCATACCTTAGTGGCAGGAACCCAAGTACTTGAGCCTTCATCTGCAGCCTCCCAGGTGCATGAGCAGGAAGCTGAAGCAGAAGCAGAAGCAGAGGTGTGGGACTTGATCCCAGGACTCCAATATGGAATGCTGGTGTGCCAAGCACTGACTTAACCTCTTGTGCCGTAACCCACCCTTATTATAGTTTTAAAAAAATTTTTTTGTGTGTGTAGCACAAATAGATTGCATATAATAAATTTACTGGTTAATAAATTATTATAAGTGAAGACTTAAAAAAAAATTTAGTTATTGATTTGAAAGGCTCAGAGTCGAAGAGATCTTCCATCAGCTGGTTCACTTGCTTGATGGCCTTAGGGACCAGAGCTGGGACAGGCCAAAGCCAGAAGCTTCATCCAGGTCTCCCAAGTGGGTGCAGGGGTCCAAGCACTTGGGCCATCTTTCAATGCTTTTTCCAGGCCATTAACAAGGAGCTGGATCAGAAATGGAACAACTAGGACATGAAATGACACCCATATTAATGCCAGCATTGCAGACAGCAACTTTACCTGCTATGCCACAGTACTGGCTCCCTAAGTGAAACCTTCTGTAATCATCACAGAGTCAATGAGAACATTGCCCAAATTTCAGCCCTTCTATCCTCCCAACAGTAGCCATCATTCCTGACTTTTATGGTTATTACTTTTTTTTTCTTTATGGTCTTGCTATGCATTTTTACATCTTAAAGATTATAGTTTCATTTGCCATTTTTTCAATATAAGTTAAATTTTTTCTTTTTTTTTTATGATTTTTTTTTTTTTTAAATTTATTTGACAGGTAGAGTGACAGAGAGAAAGAGAGAAAGGTCTTCTGTTGGTTCACTCCCCAAATGGCCACAACGGCCGGAGCTACGCTGACCTGAAGCCAGGAGCCAGAAACTTCTTTCTGGTCTCCCATGTGGGTGCAGGGGCCAAGCACTTGGGCCATCCTCCACTGCTTTCCCAGGCCACAGCAGAGAGCTGGACTGGAAGAGGAGCAACTGGGACTAGAACCGGCACCCATATGGTATGCCGGTGTCACAGGCAGAGGATTAACCTAGTGCGCCATGGCACCATATTATTATTCCAACTGTTTTCCATCTTCGTATATTATGATTTGAGGTTTCACGTGTATTGTAGGATGGAATGTGTTTTAACTTGTTCTTTTTTTCATTATGGGATGGGAAGGAAGAGAGAAATCTTTGCTCTCATTGAAAAAAAAGTCTTGGCCGACGCCGTGGCTCACTAGGCTAATCCTCTACCTGGCGGCGCTGGCACACCGGGTTCTAGTCCCGATCGGGGCGCTGGATTCTGTCCCGGTTGCCCCCCTTCCAGGCCAGCTCTCTGCTGTGGCCCAGGAGTGCAGTGGAGGATGGCCCAAGTGCTTGGGCCTTGCACCCCATGGGAGACCAGGAGAAGCACCTGGCTCCTGGCTTTGGATCAGCCGCAGCGGCCATTGCAAGGTGAGCCAATAGAAAAGGAAGACCTTTCTCTCTGTCTCTCTCTCACTGTCCACTCTGCCTGTCAAAAAAAAAAAAAAAAAAAAGTCGTCTTCATGCCTTTTTTTTCTCTTATTTCTATCCAGGCCTCAAATACGATGAGTATTTTCATGACTTACAGGTCTTCATTTCCAAACCCAATTTTCTTTACGAGCCATGAATCATG